AAATGCAGAAAGTTTCCTGTGAGGGGTAGGTTTAGGGGTAGGGTTGGTGTAGGGCAATAGAATATACGGTCTGTACAGTAGAAAAACCATTACGCCTATGGAGAGTCCCCACAAGGATAGCTGACCAGACATGTGTGTGTGTATGCAATGTAAATGATTTTCCAGCTACATTTTTCATTTTCATTTAGTTTAACTTGATGTACTACAATAGCTAAAACTGAAATTAAAATTAAAAGCTATATACAAATTACAAAAAATAACAAAAACAAATAAAATGTCAAAGTTACTAAAACTTTACATTTGAAGTAAAAGAGGAAAATACAAAAATAAAAACGAATTAATAATAAATTCATTAAAAACTACTATATAGTATATAAATGATACTTTAACAAGTTACAATACATTTAAAATAACTAATGCAATAGTTAACAATAATTAGCATTTATTAATTAATGTCAATTTCAATTTTCTTTTATTAACATAATTAATGAGTCCCCACAAGGATAGCTGACCAGACATGTGTGTGTGTATGCAATGTAAATGATTTTCCAGCTACATTTTTCATTTTCATTTAGTTTAACTTGATGTACTACAATAGCTAAAACTAAAACTGAAATTAAAATTAAAAGCTATATACAAATTACAAAAAATAACAAAAACAAATAAAATGTCAAAGTTACTAAAACTTTACATTTGAAGTAAAAGAGGAAAATACAAAAATAAAAACTAATTAATAATAAATTCATTAAAAACTACTATAGTATATAAATGATACTTTAACAAGTTACAATACATTTAAAATAACTAATGCAATAGTTAACAATAATTAGCATTTATTAATGTCAATTTCAGTTTTCTTTTATTAACATAATTAATGCATCATGAATTAACAATGAACAATACTAAAATTAATAAATGCTATAAAAATAGTACTTTTTGTTTATATCTTATGAGATAACTAAAGTTAACATATTGAAGCTTACGTGCATGTTTTAATGCAAGCAAGGACACAAAAGAAGTGTCAGCATTTTATAAAAATGAAACTTCATGAAATGCATGTGGGATTTGCAAGTAGATAACAGACAGAAAATGAATTATATGATCCTATAGCGCCCCCACATGTCAATCCAGCAACATACCACTGCAGGAGCCAGAAACACGGCCACGTTTCTGTATTTGGACAGATCAGTCTGAAATATCAAAGAGCTGCAGTAAGGAAAGCTATAGACGCGTTTGACATAATGTAAAATACTTGAAATACATACATATAAAGCTTGCCTTCCAGAAGTCCTGTTTGACAAAATGAATATCAGTGTGCGGTACTCCACGCCACCATGCTTTACTCCTTGAACAGGCCAATAACATGGAGTTTATTTCAAAACCTGTGCATTGAAATCCCATTGACGGTGCTGCAAAAGCCTGCATTTCAGAACAGGACAGTTAATACATGAGATGAAGTATAAGCTCCAAAACCTGACATTTTATCCATGACTTACCAAACGTCCATCGCCTGATCCCAGGTCAGCCAGATGGCCTTTGCGTCCTTCTAGAAGCTTGATAACATTTAGAGTTTGTTCTTTTGTTGAAGGTAAAAATGGCACCTGGGAGAATATCATACCAGACCTTTTCAGCTTCCTTAGCTTGTCTCAACTTCTCTCTATTAAAGAGAGAAATGTGCAGAAAGTCAAAGCACCTTTAGTCTGAAAGGGACTCTCAGTCCAGGCATGCAGAACATGGCCCAGAGTCTGTAGACTCCAGCGAAGGCAGATCCGATCAGTAAGGTGACACTGCTGATGACTGAACCACCTGCTGCTGTGCTCCTCAAGGATGACCTCAATACAGTCCTCCATACTGTAAAGCATCTCAGGGCAAACATATTGCTTTTTCAACTTAAGTATCCATTGTATTGTTTGTAGAATTGAAATTAGAATCAGAAGCTAACCGAATTGTGTATGGTTACTGTATGGTTTAAAATAGTATTGTTTAATTGAAATCAAGTTCAAATATAATATAAATAAATATTAGGTGAAAAACTAAAAATTTGAAACAAAGGTTAGAGAAATGAGAAATGTTGCCTTAGCAACTAACTTAATTACTAACTAAAACGATTAACTAACTAAGTTGACGTTGAAGTACTAAAATAACTAAAACTGAAATAAAAAATGCAAAGCTAAATAGAAATATACAAGTCAAGTTTCAAGTCAATTCAAGTTTATTTGTACAGCGCTTTTCACGATACAAATCATTGCAAAGCAACTTTACAGCAAATTAAGTTTCTACAATATTTAGTGGTAGCTTATCAGTGGTGACTGTCAGTTAATGTACATATGGCAGAAATGTATGGAAAAATCAATTAAAGACGTAATAAAACAGACGATGAACACTATTAACAGCACTTATTGTATGATGCAATCAAACTTATATTCACAACAAAACTAATAAAAATGATAAAAAGAACATTTTAACTAAAATGAAAACTGAAAATATAAAAATAAAAGCCAGTTCAAAATATTTATAAATAATATAAAAGTATATACATAATACTAAAATAACATTGTATCACTGCTGTGAGTAATTACATCTTGCATCTCAAAACTGAATCTGTTTTTTAGTTCATCCACTACAATTTGATTGAAATTTTTTTTTTAGTAGACCACTCTTGTCGAAATATTGAAATAATAACTGGAATTATTATTAGCATTTCTTTAGATTTGTTTTATACATTTACACTTACATAAATTCAGGTTCATAGAATTGTTTCCTACGACCAGAGATTTGCAAAAGCTTTAACAAACACTAAAGAAATTTATTATTTTAACATTTTATTGTTAAATGTTTTATACATAACTATATTAAAATTCGATTTGCTCTGACTAAAAAACATCACCATTATTCTATGCAGACTAAATATTTTAATAATATAGGTCTTTTAGTCCGTAAAGGGGCATTTGTTATGGTAGGCTATCTAATAGCACTTACACTGGAGTGGCCAGTAGAGGTCGCGCTGCTGCAACAATCCGACGGAAAAGCGAAAACACAACTCATTCCCGTCGTGTATCAAATGACCGCGGACACTGAAGCCAAACAAACTAAACATGTGCTCGATCTTTGCGTTTTAATCCTGCCTGTAAATGTTTCTAAATGCCGCAGTGAAGATGAAATCAAACTGAAACCTGTCCTGTAGCGTTACACACGCCTCATCTCAATCGATACCGCGGACAGACTCTCTAGGCACTGAAATATTGAGCAAAATCTAAATATTAATCTGCCTAGGACACTAAAGTAGGCCAGAAAGGAAAAATTGAAATCGCATCATATGACCCCTTTAACATTTATTTGAATGTGAGAATGTTTGCCTTACCTACTTCCTGCCAGGGTTTTCAGAGGCTTTCCAGATTAAAACGACTGACAGATACCAAACCAAATGAGATGCGATAACATTAACTAGTATTTTCGGGGAAAAGAAAAAATTTTCAGAGCAAAAAGGACCCGAACACCACATGAGGGTTAAGAGATCGATCTGCCCTCTGGACTTCTGCAGATATCTGGTAAATATTTCATCGTAGTAAACATAATTATACAAACCTGTTGAAAACGGTTGGTTTCACCATTTCGTGAATAAATGTGTTAAGAATCTAAAATAGTTCCTATTATAATAACAACAAAAATACTACAAAAAAATCTACAGTATAAGCTGAAAAACCTTTATTAGAGCTATAAATATTTTTTTTAATACAGTAGGATATTCTATTTTAATGCAAGAAAAAAATATGTAGAGCACTGAATTATGTTTCTCAGCTAATTTATTTCTAATTTATTATAAATTATATACTTTTAGTATATTTACTTTTAGTCATTTAGCAGACACTTTTATCCAAAGCGACTTACAAATAAGAAAAAGTAATTAAAACTAAAAGCTAAAACTCTATAAATACTATATATATATATATACACATTTAATAAAATAAAATAAATTAAATAAAAATGACAAATGCATACAACAACACTTCAAAACTAAAACATTTAAATTTAAATTTAGCATTTAAAATACGTTTTTGGATGTGTGCGGACCTTCTCTTTTGCACATGCAACGTTTCACTAGTTTGCTCCCTTGATGCCTGCCCTCAGTGCTCTCTAAATGCCAACAGCTCGCTTGCT